TGTCATCGCGTTTTCTGCTTAAAATGTCTATTTCATCTAGGGCTTTAAATTTCTATTGACGATTGTATTCTTGTTTCATTCTGGTCTTTAAATGTTTTGGTCGTCTTCTTGTTACTTGTGCATTAAAAGAACTTTTAGGCGAAAGCTCAGTAGACATAGCTAGCTATGTTGAGTTCCTACACAAAGTTAGGAATCTACGTATTCGTGGCTCTCGAGCTTATGTTGGATCATCAAATATTGTTGCCAATTCTTTACCTCTCAGCCTTCAATTATGTAAAAATTTGTTGGCACTCTGGGTATCAAGATTTTCTTTTTATATTACAAATAAAGTCTATTTTATCGTTGCTCTTTTTTTATCTTTTTTTTTACTTAATTATTTTCTTTTAATTGTTTACTTTCTCGGTATAAAAATCATTTGTCATTTTCACTAGTAAAGAAATTAGTGTGTTTGATAATGGGTTTTTTATTTTTTTCAAAAATCCAATTATTATAGATCAGCGAATTTGATGTAAAAATGGTTTCAAATTGCTATTCAGTGAGAAGGACGTGCAAAAGGCTCGTAGTACATTTTTCTATGAATAGGCTTTGCGTAAGCGATATTTTCTTTGCAATATTTTGGCTTTATATTTTGGTGACTTGAACTTCATCGAGAGTGTACCTTTTTTTTTAAAAAATTTTTTTATCAACTAATTAAGTTTTTTAATCTAAGTTGTGGTTTTAGGATTTGTTACTGGAGCCTGATTTTTCTGAATCAGTCGAAGATGCCGAAAGTTGGAGTTGTATTGAAGACGTGGATTTTTCGTTCAACGAGTTAACAGAAGTTGATGAATCTGTGGTTAGAATGTTGTTGATCTATAATCACTGATGTTTGTAAATTGTTTTAATTTATAGGTGATGGGCCATTTTTTCATAAATTCTTTTTATTGCAGCGTCTCCTTGAGAATGTGAAAAAAATTGATATGTCGCATAATATTTTGCAAGACATTGGACACCATTTGCAACATCTCACGTGTCTGACTGAATTAAACCTCTCTCATAACAATATTGAAAACTTAGTTGATTGGCATCTAAAACTGGGAAACTTAAAGAAACTATATTTGGCTGGAAATTCTGTCTCTTCAGTGACAGGTAGCATTTCTAGAATTTTACTTTTTTTC